ACCTATTGGATAGAGTGCAGGGATGCCGGTACTTTACTAAGATAGATCTAAAGTCCGGATACCATCAAATTGCTATTAGACCTCAGGACCAGCACAAACCGCTTTTCAGACCAGGTACGGTCTGTTCGAGTTTGTGGCAATGCCCTTTGGCCTATGCAATGCCCCTGGGACATTCCACCACGCGATGAATAGGATCTTTCATGAGTACTTAGACAAGTTTATCATCGTGTACCTCGACGATATTCTTATCTTTAGTAGGACTGTAGAGGAGCACGTTGAGCACTTGAAAATAGTGTTAGGTCTCCTAAGACAGAACCAATACAAGATAAACTTGGAAAAATGCGAGTTCGGTCCCACCAAGATCTTGTACTCGGGTCATGAAATCTTCGCAGAAGGGTTGAGGCCGGATGATTCCAAAGTGGCCAGCATACAAGACTGGCCCAGGCCTCGGACTGTTGCTGAGGTCAGATCGTTTGGGGGATGACGAGCTACTATCGTCTGTTTGTTAAGAACTATAGTACTATAGCCTCCCCATTAACAGATCTAACTCGACTCGGCACCCCTTGGGAGTGGACTGAAGAGTGTGAAACGGCCTTCAAGAACTTGAAATATGCGCTAATGCACTACGAAGTCCTCAAACTTCCGGATCCTAAACAGCCCTTCGTTGTGACCACAGACGCCAACCAATATGGCATAGGCACGGCCCTTGAGCAAAAGGAGGGAAAAAAATTGAAACCGATCGAGTATATGAGTAAGAAGATGCCGTCTCAAAAGCTAGCAAAGTCCACGTATGAGCGTGAGCTCTATGCCCTATATAGAGCGCTGGTCCATTGGAGACATTATCTCCTAGGCAAATTCTTTTACGTAAGATATGACCATGAGACCTTGCGTTGTATCAAGACACAGCCTGTGCTCTCTGATGCACTCAAGCGATGGATACAAGTGATATGACATCAGCTAACCTAGTACAAAAGTTTTGGTGGCCCACAATGATGCAGGATGCAAAGAAATATGTAGAGACCTGCCAAGTTTGTCAACGTGACAACCATGGACACAGACACCTTTGGGATTGACTAAACCTTTGCCTATCCTTGATGGACCTGGGCAGAGTGTGTCCATGGATTTCATGGATACTCTCGTGAACAGCAAGAGTGGAAAAAGGCATATATTTGTCATTGTGGATAGATTTACTAACTACGCAAGACTAATTGCTATGCCTGAGACAGCCAGAACTGACCACATCATCAAGCTCTTTATGGATAACTGGGTACGTGACTTCGGTCTACCTACGTCTATAGTCAGTGACAGGGACGTGAGATTTACCAGCGAGCTGTGGCATTCAACAGCTGAGCAAATGGGCACTAAACTACAAATGACGTCAGGGAACCACCCTAAGTCCAATGGCCAGGCAGAACAGATGAACCGAGTAGTACAGCACCTGCTTCGGCATTATATCAATCCAAGTCAGGATGACGGGGACGAGAAGTTACCTCTCATCGCCAGCCTGTACAACAACGTTGTGCACAGTACTACTGGAATGACTCCCAACCAACTACACCTTGGTTGGAAGCCCAGATCTGCACTTGACTTTCTGCTACCAGAAAGACAACCCACCGCAGCACTTGGCAGCATAGAGTTTGCTGTAAAGTACAATAAATGCTGCAGCAGGCCGTTGAACATATTAGAAAATCTCAGGATGCTATATCATCTGAGAATAAGCATAGACGGCCCTCAAACTTTCAGGTAGGTGACAGAGTCTGGGTCGAATCATCTGAACTAAGTCAAGAGTTGGGGATTTCACGCAAACTAATGCACAGTACTTTGGGCCCTGGGAAATCTTAGAAATTGTAGGGAATCAACCGGATGGGCCTTCATGCGTGATTCGCATTCCTGCACACTTGCATACTTACCCTGTGTTACATGCCTCCAAGTTGGCACCTTTCCCTGTCACTGATCAGTTTCCCTCCAGGAGATCAATGCTACCCTCAACCATGGATGGACACGTGGACATTGATGATATCGTCGAGCACAAGCTGATGCCTGTACCCAAACCTCCAAGAAAGGGGTCGACCGCCAAAGCCACAGATGCAATACAAAGTGTGGTTCAGACATCACATTGATCCTCAAGAAGACCGGTGGTTCACAAGAGAGGAATTAATGAAGACTGCTCCCCAAATCATCTGAAGTTACGAAAGAAAGTTAGAGGGGAAGCAGCCTAATACATAAGAACTTCTCAGAGGACTATCGAAGAAAAGGAGGAGGGAATGCGAGGATCTGGGTCCTCGGCAGGCCTAAGAGGGCCCCTACTGCGGATGTGCCCGCCCTAAGTGAAGGCGGCCTTAACAAATCACGAGAGGCCCTCAGCTGTCAATTTCGTATTTGGGAGATCCAGGCAGTTTTGACGCGCCAGTTGGTTGCGGGAAAAATGCAGGCCGAGCAGCAGCACAATCCACAGCCTTCTGGGCCTTTCCAAGAATGCAGGCCCTGGGCAAGAATCGCAGCCTCATACACTGACAGTTGCGAGGCCCAACCGAACGATGCCCAGTATCTGCAAAACAAGCGCAGCATCCTAAGGCCTACAGGAAGCTTCTGGGCCCAGGCAGAGCTCGCCACCGGGAGCCTCATTCAGGCACTCATATGCTAGCGGCAGCGCTGCTGGAGTGGACGCCCATGGACTGCTGCTGGCCCTGAGAGGCGAGGTGCTAGCGCGTGCAGTCGTGCAGGGAGCAGGGCGCTGCTGAGGGCAGCGCCATAGCCCAGCCTCCATACCTGGTTGGGCTTGGACTACAGTGAGGCGCAGGGGTGGTCTTCGGGTGTACAAAGGGAAGACGTGGGAGTAAGACGAGGGAGAGAGAGAGAAGGATGATGATGATGATGATGTGAGGGCACATACCTGGTATTGGCGATGGTCTGCATGGGCGACATCTTCCAGTACTACGGAGGCTGCTGACGTCAACAGTTGGATTATCAATTAGCAGGCAGAGAGTAGCTGTGTAGGACGTAGGCTGGGCGCCGAGCGCCAAGTAGGGAGATAGGGGCTGGACACTCATGTTGGTGGTGGCGAGAGCAAGCTTTCATTGACATTGGTTTTCAGTGTTACGAATCTTCATTGGTGTTATATTGGTGCATTTCTGCTTTCTGGACACTGTGATACCATCTGGCCTTCAATGTGATTGTGCAATCTGCTTATTGTCATCTCGCTATTGCTCATTTCCCTTGCATTATTATTATTATCTTAATAATTCATTTTTGGCCTGGCCAGTCAAGTGGTCCCGGCCCACTCTGGTAACATAGTTTACAACACCGGTGACAATTTGGGTTCTCACAAAGTGGTCCTGGGCAAAGTGATCCCGGGCCACCTTACCTCTATTACGGCCCGTGGGGCCCTGTTAATTAATCCCCACCCTCCACTCGACTGGTCAAGTGGTCCCGGCCGACCCTTCTCTTGACCGGAGCTCTCTTACCGTTGCTTGGACGATTTCGTTACAAAGCCTTCATTTACTCATGTCCGACCGTTTTTTTTTTTTTTTTTTTTTTTTTTTTTTTTTTTTTTTTTTTTTTTTTTTTTTTTTTAAGGCTAATTCTGTTAAAGGACCACTACCTTCTCACGTACATCGGCCACAGGGGGAAGGGTCCCTGCCAGTTTCGGAGGCCAGAACGAGACGGCAGCCGCCTACGACATTTATAAATGGGCATCGGGCCCTGTCCCCAAAGAATGCGGTATAGCTTATATAGTTATATTCCCACTTTTCCCAACACTGTGAAAAGTGGTGGTGGTTCAAGTCCTGTCTCTTATACACATCTAGATGTGTATAAGAGACAGGTGAAAAGTGGTGGTGGTTCAAGCCCAACCAATTTCAATTACCATCGAATCTGGACAGCCAGCAGGTGCGCTTTTTTTTTTTTTTTTTTTTTTTGGGGCATTTTTTTTTTCCCCCTTTTCCTTTTTTTTTTTTTGTGCCTGTTTTAAACGAGATCCAACATGGCATCCACACGTTCCCATACACATGTGCAATGACAAGTGACCTCTGGAGTTGAGAAATCCACACCACACTGGATGATAAGAATACACCAGCGGAAGCACACAGACTCCGAAAATAGAATTGAAATGAAAATCAATTCTAATTATCGGTCTCTCCCCAAGTCGATCAACTGCACAAATTTCCACCGGGATCCCAACCGCATTATCAACACCCACGGACCAATCATTTACAAGATTTCATCAAAGTACCCGGGAGTCTTCGTCTTCCTCCTCCTTCCTCAAGCTCTAGCTATGGTGCTTGCAAGCACCCAACCTATCAAGCCTGCCAATCGCCACACACCCTCCTAAATCCAACACCCCTCTCTGCACCACTCAAGAACCCCACTGCAGATGAAGTCTCCACTCAGCAGGGGAGCGCAGCGCAGCTTCCAGGATGCTGAAGAAGAACAGAAGCTCGATGAAGATGAAGATCTGCCAAGTCGAAGAAGAACCGCAGAAAGTACAGCTTCAGTGGCAGCTGACCAAACCCTAAACCCAACAAGCACACAAATATGAGGAAGCGCTCGTCAACACTTGGGCGCCGAGCCCAGCTCTGTCACCGATGGAGCTGGCCTGCCCCTGATATGGCCGCCATCCGACTTCCCAAGACCTCCAACACAGCAGCCACCTACAGACCTATCTGACCGTCCAAACAGCAAACATCTACGGCCAAACGGTCAAAATCTACCTGCATGCATCTAGATGGAAACGTCGACTAAGGGGACCCAAGGCTTGGACGCACAAAAGAAAGACCTACGGGCCTACCAGTTTCCAGAAGGGCAGAAAAGGACAAAACAACAAGGCTGAAAGGCCTAAGACTACGAAGAAAAGACTACTAGCAAGCGACAGGTTCAAGGTCCAAACCCAATAAACCGCAAAAACAGTCAAACACCACAAACACACTACATACAGGTCACGGGATCAAGTCCCGTAGCACCCAAAACAAGGAAACAGCAAACACGGTTAGCGTACAGTCGCACTGGGATATTGCGATTTATCGCATTCATCAGATGGACCGACAGCACTGACTGACAAGAGGATGGCATTCATCTCTTCCTACAGTTCGCAACCGTCTACACACGAATAGAATGCCTGGTCATTATAGCCGTATCTTGAGCAACTGTCAGTCCAGATACAGCCACAACGACCAGGCAAGCGTTCTATTCGGGTGAAGACAGTACGGCCATGCAGGCCTTACAGCCAGCTTTGGAAATGAAAACAAAACTGAACAAAAACAACAGGTTGCCGGATTGCAGAGACCCCTCGACAAAAACAAGCGCAGAGAAAGCGAGCGAGCGAGTGAGCAAGAGAGAGAGAGAGAGAATACCACCTACCAGCATCAGTCAGATTTTTCTCACCCATGCGTCACAAAGGTACTGTTGGAAGTGCTGGCACAATTGACAGACACCCACGTCAAATTGCTTTCAGCATCGCAGCGCTCAGATCTGGATCCTTATCGGCCTCGACGTAGCACGACCGTCTCTCGGCATCCTTGATGAGCGTTCTCCAAGTGCCATCCTTCTTGGTTAGCGTGGCGGCGTTCCCGACAACCCATACAGCATACTTTCCGCGGGTGATGGCCACATTCAGCCGACGGTCATCCCGCACAAAACCGAGATCCCCACTCGCATTGGCTCTGACAGTTGTCACAATGATTACATCTTTCTCTTGGCCTTGGAACCCGTCAACAGTCTTTACTTCCACATGAATACACCGTCCGGGCTGCTGTTTACCGCCAAACAGCAGATCCATTTCAATTAACTGGACCTGGAACCATCACAGCGAACAAGTTAAAATAAAGAAGAAGAAGAAGAAGGAAAAGAAAAAGGAAACGTTTTCAAAAAAAGAAATAAAGAAAGACCGCATTCATAAAGCTGCTCCGGCACCAACTGCACCCAGCGCCCCCGATAAAAAACAAACGAACGCGCGGCCC